CCCCAAAACCCCAAAACCCCAAAACCCCAAAACCCCTTTTAGCCTATAAAAAATAGAATTTTCAAATATGGACATAATCAACAAAATTTTCTTTCCCCAAAGAGACTCGTCCAGCGACGATGAATCTAAAGAACAAGACTGGAGAGACAACGAGAATGCAGACTGGATGGCAGAAGGCTACGAAGAGGAATATGAAGTCTCAGACCCTGGTGCCCTCGAGCCAAGACTGAGACAGAACGCAGAAAGACCTAGAGTGATGAGCGAGAGAGAAGTAAGAGAGATCATGAACCAATACAACCAAAAAATTAATGAACATACTCGAAAAATAGAAGGTCTCAAATCCAAGATTGGCAAAATCAATAAACAGACTATCGCAGCCGCTTCAAAACTGTAAAGCTACTTTAATGTTTCTAGGACCAGGCAGAAGGATAAGTATAAGACAACCAAGCAGCATCTCAAAGAGACATTCGAAGAGAAAGAACGCCTCAAGCTCCAACTTGAGAATATCAATACAGCCATTTCCATTGAGGCCAAAGGAAGAAAAATAGAGAAAGAGGACCAGAAGGAAGTCAGGAATAGAATCGTGCAAGTTTTAACGACACTTCTACCAGAAAGAGAAGATATTGAGGACCTTGTCTCCCATATTGCCCACTTGAGCGGCACCAGTCATAGACTGGAGTACCTCAAGCAAGAGAATTTCGAACTGAGAAGTAAATAAGGAGGAAGAAGAGTAAGTTCAAAATAAGCTAAATTTTTAATCTGCTCCGGTGTCTAACAAATTTTAGGACAGAGATAGAAATTATGAATCTCCCTGATTCAATCAAAGACAGCCAAGTCATCGTCAGAAACAGTGATAAAATTCTGTATTACCACCCTGGTCAATTAAGGTTCTATTCCTGTAAAGGTTGAGGAGGAGATGCGTACTACCAATGTTGCCTTATGTGAGCCAATTGAAACCCTGGATGCAGACAGAAGGAGACAAAAGACATTCTTTAACCCAGTCCCTTACTAAAATCTAAAAATTCAAAATTGATCTTAGTTTTCGGGGTTTTGGGGTTTTGGGGTTTTGGGGTTTTGGGGTTTTGGGGTTTTGGGGTTTTGGGG